GTAGTCGATTTGATTCATGTAGAACTTCAATATAATAATAAATGTAAACCATAGGAATTATCCATTCAATTAAAATTATAAATGTATCCAAACTGATGTCTCACGTAGAATTTCAATTTTAATATGTAGTCGAACAGAAGTCTTGTAAAGAACTTCTGTGTAGTAATATCGAGTCATGAGTAACTTCCTTTTTTTCTTTTTGTATATTGTGTTTGTAATGTTTTCTAACTGGTTTTTTGTAAGATTGTAATTCTGAAGAAAGAGTAAGGAGCAGGAAGATGGGTTATATGTAACTGTTATTTTTTATTCAATTTATTGAGAACAAATTTAATATCTAAATATCTGTGAAATTACGTTACTTATGACTCTATTAATAATTATAAATGTCATTGGTGTCTATGAAGTCTTATAAAAACTTCAATATAATTATAAAATAAATGTATTTATGTATCTAATTATTTAGCAATCAACGTATATTACTTTTATTTACATCCATAAATAACGATCTAAGTTAGGGTCCCAATTCTGCTTATTCTGGATACCATTTCTATGTATCATTAGATTTAAAAGTTGACGTTTATCTTAAGATATATTGAGAAATCACTTTGATGTTTACAAAGACACGATTGCGTTAACAAAATTGGGCCCCGTAATTTTAGTTTACAAAAATACTTATAAATAGATACGTAGATCTGTATTTTAATCGCTTGTATTCGCACGCGACAATGTCATTGCACAAATCAAAGGATTATGTATTTAAAAATTCAATCATTCCGACAAATCTTCAGATATGTCTTCTCGTATTTTGATTTTGTTTTTAACAGATCTCCGATTCGTGTATGTAGAATCATTGTGTTCCTTGACTAAGCCCTTGCCTTCTGATTGTTTAGATTTAGATCTTGTATGGAATTTCTTTACTCTTTGACCAGTTTCATCATCCCTTACTTTGGATACCTTCTTACCCCTGTGAGATGTGTGCGGGTGAGACTCCGTCATTGACATACCTTTGTTTTCCTCATCAACTGATATTTCTCGTTTTAAAGCGCTTTTGAATGTTTGGCCTCGTGTCGGTTCGTGTAACGAAAATGTTATCCTATCATGATGTATCTGTAAGTTTAGTAATTATTAATAAATGTAGTGGACAAAAAAAATTAAAAAATCAACAATGTTTTTTCATTCATACCCGATATTCGATAGTAATATAACACTCTTCTTCGTCTTCGCAAATAAGGGAATTGACATCGGCTGGCTTCGCTGCGTTAGCTGGGCGTCGGGCCACGCGGATGAATCTCCATAGTGATCGAATGCGCGGACCACACGACCTCACCATATCACTTACCTAGAAACGTACGAAACAATACATAAGCAAATTACTATTGTCAGCTATTTTTTTGTTTCACTAAGCGAGTAGCTAGTGAAACCAGTCCGTACTGCTTTAACATGGCAATTACGGCCGCATAAGTGAAATGGTATACTGTTCATATAACTGGGTGCTTCAAGGTCATCTGCTCAGTGCCCACTTCCCGAAGGCACCGCTATATCTAAAATTCTGTTCTGCATGGCAACTCATATTACGAGCCACCATTGCTTTTAAAAGTATTCGAGCTACAGGATAAGAGATCTAACAGACGAATCAAGAAAAATATTAGTTGGTTTACAAAGACTACGTTATTGCAATATCTATAATTCACATCATTAACATGCCATATCTGAATTTTAACTTACATATATCTTTCAATCTATCCACACTTCCTTCGGTCTTCCTCTTCCTAGAGGAAGAAAGTATGGACGGATTGGAGAGAGATGAAGAAAAGTAGACTTTTATAGTTAACATTCAAACTCAATACTTAGTTACGATCATTGTGGGTAAAAAGTAAATAAAAAGGTATGCTGTTATGTATAGCTTTAGACTTACCTTCATTTGTTCTCCGCCGTCACAAATACCATTGCCATGCGGCTCTATACCAAAACTATTAATGCAAGCTCGATCTTCTGGTAATAATGAATCAATTTCGAATGCGCATTTCGGCACACCATCAGTCCGTTCCTGTAAAATTAGAAACACATAAACGCTTTAAAAGAAGAAGACGCATAAAAGATTTGCAAACTCGTGTTAGCAACCCTATAACGATTATAATCGATGCGTGTTCTCCATCAATATAAATTTCAACTCACCCATCCTACTTCATCGCAATGTTTCGGTTCATCGTAGCAAATATAGTAGTTTGTCGCCTTCGAACCGTCTGATCTCTTCTCAGTTGACCAAGTGTACCAATTTTCTCCGAATTTAAACATGCTGTTTATATGAGACTGGCGATAGATTAAGGGAAATATCATTTCGTTGGGATGCATCTGTCTGGATGATTTTTCTGTCGTAGTGACATCGTCATATTCTGGCTTTTCATCTACACGATGTGAGTTTTTGATGAACGGTAAGAGGGTTCCTTCCCGTCTTTTTGTGCCCCACGCTTCTGTGTGTGATTCTTCGTCTTCCACCCTAGAGTCTTCCTGATCAGAATGTAGGACTACTTTGACTTTAACAGATATGGCGCACTGGAGCAGGCAAGCAAAGGTTACCACTGAACGTCTCATTTTCGAGAATAGGTCTGATTTGATGCATAAAAATCTAATTCGCTCTCAGGTACATGTTTGAAAGCATAAAGGATGTTGATACTTTTGTGGTCGATAAGAGCAATGTTTGTAAATATAAGACGCTTTCTTAACCTGTAGCAAAAGAACTAAAATGCTCCATTTACTGTACAGTACGATAAAAAGTTGTCTTTTTTAAAAAGTAACTTAGTTCAATTGTTTTCCCTATAGTTTTATGCTTTACTAATCTTCTATACAACAGCGAGTTTCCGCTGCTGATGCACTCGTACAAAAAACATTGCACACAAGTTCTCTTTTAATTATAAAACAATGTTTTTTGTGCGAAAGTTTTGATGCGGTATATAACCTTGTGATTAATTTCTTGCAGCAATTAGTAGATGCATCCAAGCTTATTTATCAAAAAAAAAAAATAGTATAGACATTCCATAGACAAAAACGGGCGTGTCATTGCCCAGTGGTTATTCTGGGTTGACTCATCAAGGGGAAACTCGCTACTCAAATAGAGTAGAAAAGGGGGCGCTGGTTCCCCGCGCAAAATAGATTTAACATCCGAGGAGGCTTAACAGCCAATCACCACCTCGGAGTGTGATGAATACTTTTAGTGTGCCCACGCCCTGGTGTTCGGTGAAACGATGGAGACAGTGGGGTATTAGTTGGTAGGCTCCCGCTTATCGGGAGAGAGCCCAACATAACCTTCGCGCCTTTCCCCTCTTAAAAAAAAGTGGTTATACAGGGTTAAGGTTATAGCTCATCACAAAAGCTGGCAACTTTAGACTTGAAATATTATATGGGGCCAGAACCATCTGCAAGGATTGTGTCGTTTAAATCTAATATTTGTTTGAATTTGTTTCCCCCATTTTACAATTAGGGACATGTGTCTATAAAAAGTGAGATTTTGTTTGGCAAATTATAGAATATGTTTTACAATTAGGTTTTCTTTGCTCATTTTAATGTTGCATGACATTAAACTCTTATTTACAAAGAATGGTGAAGGCTTATGGCAGCCTCTTTATTTTTTTGTCATTTTTAATCTTGATAATTTAGGTATAAAGGGTGATTTGAAATAAATACAGTACAATCGGATTATTGATTTTATTTCGGGTACAAAGATGTAGAGTATAAAATAAAAATACTGCATTTGGTATCAACCTTTTTATCATAAAACTTTGATTATGAAAATTAAGCATTTCGACAAATACACGTATTACATTCTATAAAATAAAAATTAAAGCATAAGAAGTATTTCTAACACTAATTATCATTTCTTTATCTAAATAGAAATTGTATAATCGTATAGTACAAATAAAAAGCGAGTGAAGTTTGGACCATTGTTAGGAATTAAGTTTTCCATAGTGCTCAATATTTTACATCAGCAATAAGAATTCGTATTTACAAAATACATTATAATTTCGTACTAAAGTGATATTTCGTTCACAGCATTAGGGATTAGAATAGCATTACTAAGGCAGAGGGTTTTATTGTAGAGCCCTAACGAATATAACTAACAATATAGAGGGGAAATCTCAGTTCCTCCGATCTAAAAGCTAGACAGTATAAAGAGAAAAAATAAGGCCAGATTCATAAAGAATTATCGCTTACTTATATTACAGTCCTACTTATAATTAGACATCTATGTGTTTAATCTTACAGCATTGGTTCCGTGTGTTTTAACTAATCAATCAAACATTTTCTACGTTGCAACATTCATAAAAGTTGCTTAAATCTAAGCTTAGTGCTAATTTTATTAGGCTTACAATTTAAGCCGTTCGTAAGATTGGGTCCACGATAGAGAGAGTAAGAACTAGTGGTATATACTAATAAGCTTTGTGCCGGGCGACTACCGCTCCGGCGGAACTAAGTCTGTCAGCGCCTCGTATTGTCCAAATATCTGCCAACTCTAACCCCGAAATAGCTCTACAAGGAAAATAGACTTCAACTATCTTATAAATATTCGATTAATTATATTCATTTTAAATAATTCATTCGATTCGACTGTATCACTATAAACTTACTAATAAAACTCATTCAATTCATATACACATCAATGAAATTATGATATATGTAAATAAATTATTGTAAGTATTAAAATATATAAAGTATTGGTAACTTTACCTGATAAATATTGTGTTTAAAAGTTGCAAGAAAAACTCCACATGTAAATAGACCCTTTGCCAAGAAAGTATATAATAATTTATTACAATTGTGAGTTAAAGTAAATATTTCAATAGTTTTTTTAAAATGGAGACATATAACATACGTTTAATGAATTATTTATATGATACTCTAGAATTCAGTGAAACATTTTCATATAAGGGTCTAAACGTCTTTAAGTTTACTTGCATAAAGGATAGTGCAGGAAGAACTGATCACTTACGTCTATTCATCTTTCATTGCGCAATTTATGAACTATAAACATTTACGCACACTTCACACAACATTGGCAACACACAGAACCCTGTGATAGCCCCTAAGCTCAGCATTTCATTGTCATACATTCATATACAGCTATTTATAATATAAACAAGCAATTAACAAACCAAACTAACGGTACACTAATAATTTATCTGGCCCAGTGATACTCTCAGTTCTGTCGGAAAATGATACATTGATATGACAGTACAGTCAGCTGCAAATATATGCATTTACAAAGGAACAAAAAAAAAGACAATGAGTTAGGAAATAAATAAGTTATTACATATATTTAGGCTTCCGACAATGAATCGGAATATGTATACATCTTTTTGAAACAAGGCGTATACTAATTTCTGTAGTGTAAATGTTTACATATTTATGCAGCTAACTGTACAAGGATTTTAATATCGTCCGATGTTAGTTTACTTAGTACTTTTAATAATAAGGCCAGATAAGTTCGTACTACCGGAAGAAAATATGAATCATTTTTTATAATATACGCGAAATAATACGGGTTAATAAGAGCCTCATAAATAAATCTCGAATTTCAATAAGCCTCATACAACTAAATGTTTATAAAAGATAGCAACAGTTGTTTACATCTACGCACATTAAATAGATATAAATCAGTCTGTAACGGAGATCAAATGGCCACAGAAAAGTGGGCAAAAATTGTAAACTTACTTAGACAAACAACCTTACGGAGGCAACTTTTTTTTATGTACACTAGGCCGTAATAGAGGGGTTTGTATTGGGGAGGTATCTATTAATTTTCACTATTTACTAAGCTTCAATGTGATTACACGAGTTAAATATTCATAAGTTAAGCGCGTCCACACAAACTTTAGAATAATATCTACGGTTATATTTATACTGAAAAATATATTAAAATAACGATAATACATTTGATTCTTGTCACTCAACGTTAACTATAAAAAGTAAGGTGTAATATAAACTTATTTTTTTGTTATTGTTTGTGTGGAAGCGAATTAAAATCTAATTGTACAAGTAAAAATAAACCTTTCGCATCTATTTATAAGACATAAAATCGCTGGGCACCTATTTGGTAACTTTCAGCGAACTATAACAAATTTGACTATACGAGTAATAGCTATTAAAAATAATTAACTACATAACATGTTTGTTTCTTAAAATATACTGTAAAATGGATTTATTGAATAGATAATTTTAAATTGACTAATTCCATAGTTATATGAATCTTACACTTTTTAAGACATAAATATTTTTTTTTAATCCGATTCCTGTGTTGAAGCATACTTCGTATTGTCAAACTTGACTTAATTATTAATGACTAATGAAGGTTTATTAACTACATTACATATTTCATACACTTAACACATAAATCGTACTTATTGAATATTTTTCAAGTGTTAAGTACATTTGTTGCATCCGTTAGGTTGATGTCGCCGTTCTGAGAGCGGCCACTAAGGGAGACTATAAATCTCCACTAAGCGATGATTACTCTGAGTGCGGCAGGCGTTTCGATCATTACGTTATTTCCGGGGCTAATGATCATGCAACGTTATTCTTACTTGACTTTAAACATACGTTAGATATGACTTTAAAGACTTCAAGGATAAAGTATCAAAATAATAATTTTATATTTATTATTAAATTTGGATTAATAATTTAACATTTGATATGTAACATTTATTAGGGATATAAAATATAACAATTATTATAATTGTCACATTGTCTTATAAAACATATAATAGTTCATTACTTAGGGGTATAATATCACTTATTGCTTTTGTATTAAAACTTATTAGGACTAGGTTTTTGTGAAATTGAGGAATAGTTTTATTAAAATAGAGCTCGTATTAGGATTTAATTATTTGTCAATAAAGTCACATCTTATTTAAATAAACTTTTAATTATAGACTTCACATTATTTTATTCTATATTTTTATCTCAATTTAATAAAAAAATCAGTCATACAAAATCATGGAGAAGAGAGATAACTTCAATCAGTACTCTAGGTTCCCAATGGGGGTTCCTTAAGTTAGGGGGGACCTTAATTAACTTTTGGCCTATTGAGGGTTGAATTTACACATGAATTTGAATTGTCTTCTCCAATACAGTAGAACCACGGTAAGTTAAAGTCCAAGGGAAACACAAAATATTTTTAAGTTATAGAGGTTTTAAGTTATCAAGGGTCTATGTTATAGAGGTTTTGAGCACTGATGGGAAGGAAACTTATTATTTTTTGAAGTTCCTTCATCATAACATGGCGGGATTCAAAACCATTACCAAGAACAAGTTCAGTACTTTAACCGATATTTATGAATAAATTTAATTTTATATATAACGTGGCGAAACGATTGGTAATTTTTAAACGATTAAAGTTACTGGCAACTAATAATTTATAAATAAAACAATCGAATAACTGATGACAGTTGTCTTTGAATGGTGGAATGATGTGCTTTGTTATTATAAAATCAATTGGTTAATCTCTGTAAATGTTTGCAATTCAATTGAAGTGTGTTGTGAAGTTATCAATTAAGGTGGTGGTCAAAAGAATAATGTTTCTAATGTTACGCGATTGTTATTTTATTATCTCCGACATACACGCCCACAATGGAAGATCTTTTCCGTGTATATGATCTACCTTCGGAATTGAATTGTACAAACCGTTCGTTCATTCCGACATATTTAATGTACTTTGATATTTCAAATATTTTAACTAGAAATAATCAAATTAAATTAATAACATTAAAAATGGATATAAATTGAGATATTTTGATATGAAATGTGAAGTCTAAATTGTTAGTATTTAAAACCTAGTTACTTGATAGTGTGTGAAGCAAGAACAACGTTTACCTCTGCCCCGGGCCGTTTGTTAGTAGCCGAAGTTATAAAGCGGGCGAGCCGCGTGATCCCGTCACGTGGTCGCATGGTTCAAACTCTTGCGTTGGAGGAACAGGTTTACTTCGACAAAATCAGGTCGTTCCACCTGGTCACGTTTCCAACATTCTCTCATCAGCTCGTAAAGATCACGAGGTATGCCGGGCGCTCGCTCGATGCACTCAAATAGACCGTCATCCGCTTGCAAGTGAGATAAATTCTCTAACACCTGGAATCAATATAATTTTAAATTTTACTAGTTGTTTCTCTGGATTTCGTCGTAACTGTAGCTTTTTAATGGTGCAAGAATTTTTGAAATCGGTCAAGTAGTTTTTGAGTTATTTCGATACATACAAAAATATAGTTTTTTTTTAGTATAGATTTATACTGTATTACTATTTTATAGATAATGTATTCCACCTTTTTTTACAATTTATTTGATATTTCGGATAGTTTTTTAAAACTCCACGTGGACGGAGACGCAGGCGAAAGCTAGTAAATAATAAACATTTTTTATTTGTGTTAGCTGAAGCAAATTCCTATGAACTACATACCTCGTTATCCGTGAGATGTTCATACGGTCGCCGTCTGCAGAATGTGAATATTTCATGGAGTGTTACTGCGAAAGCCCACATATCGCTTTTAGTGGTATAATGTCCTAATAATGTTTCCCACGCGGCCCATCGTATGGGGATAGGTACACGACCCTCCACTTTATGATAATCACAAGTGTACATCTCATTATCAGTGCCGAAGTCACTAATCTTTATCTGATAACCTTTACCGATTAGAATGTTCCTGAAAATTAACACAATTATCTATATTTTTATACTTAATATAATAAATACACTAAAAAGATTGCAAAAAGGTGACATGATCAAGAAGGGAGAGATGTCTAAGATGACGTATGATAAAGTTATTTGGAGGTCAAAAACCTGTTGCGCCGACCCTAAATAAGATAAGGAGAAAGATGACGATGACACTACTTCGTGGCGTAGAATACAAGCTGCCAACATTAAGTAAGCAAGGTTATTGGTAACAGTAATTTTGACATTTGGAATTGAGAATTATACAAATGCAAACAATAAAATATTTTTTTTATAATTACATTCGGAAGCCCTATGGAAGTATATGTTAGTTAGTTTCTCATACTTTCAAATAGATTTATCGAACTATATTAAAATTAAAACTTACCTAGCTGCCAAATCTCTATGAACGAAATTCAAAGATTCCAAATACTGCATGCCGGTTGCAATTTGTGTGGATATATGTAGTAATGTGCCGACAGATGGCGGTGGCGCTGATCGTAGGAAAGCGCATAAATCCCCTAATTCTAGGTATTCTAAGACCACAGCTAGTGGTGGAGTCCTACAAGCTCCTAGAACCCTCGCCAGATGGGGGGATGATAGTGCCGCTAGAATGCGAACATCTCGCTCAAATTCCTCCCTAAAAAAATAAAAAAAATAATAATTTGTATACAAAATTTGAATAAAATGAATAGGAAAATGTTATGGTGTGAATGTTTAGTATAATAATTGTAAGTAATATTATAAACATGAAAGGTTTGTATTTTTGTACGTATTGAAATAACTCAAAAACCACTAGGCCGATTTTAAAAATTCCTTCACTGTTAGAAAGACATTTTTTTTAATTTTATGCGGGCAAAGTCGGAAGCAACAGCTAGTGTAATATGTTAAAGCTTATATAAGTTTTACAGTACATATGCTTAAAATTTACTTTAAAAAGTTTTGTACAAACAAAATGCAGTTATATGATCCAAAAGGCATCAGAGGTGGGAAACCTTAAACCAAAACTATTATTCTGGGTATTTGAACCTAACCTAAATCTCAAGTTACGTTCTAAAATGCATTTCATGAAGTTATCGAACCAAAAACTCTAACGAATGTATAACTTTTAAGTGTAACTGGGAAAGAGACCGTTAGTATATTTTTTGTTCCAATAAAACAACATTCCGGTAGTAAAAATGTTGCCAACCCCTGGTATGAGTTATGATAGAGATATAGTGATAGTAAAAATACTATATAAAAGTACGTCATACATGATATACCTCTCCTTGAGGGTGGCATCGTGGCATAGAAATTTGACTGCCACCAATCTCTTCTCTGACGTCACAATACCATTATACTCTGGGACACCGTCAGCTTCCGCGACATACACCTGGACAAACAAATATCATAAAAAAATAATAAAAAGCATCAAAAAAACACTTCTGTAAAAAATATGTATTTTTAATGTATACATTAAATAAATATAAAAAGATAGTTATAAAACTCTTAATTTTAGAGGGAATACATAATAATGAAACCACAGTATGGAAATTGCAGCTTTTATTGTATTCCTCTATTAAGGTATCAAAACTTAATATTAATATAATAAATAATTATAATAAACAATATAAATTTACTACATAAATAGATAATAAGTACAGATAATATAAATATTTCAATATAAATGTTAAAAAACAAAATATTTTATATGACACTCTATATAATTATACTAAAGCAGAACTTTGAAATAGATTTCTCCTTTTTCATATTAATAATATAATAAACATATATGGGGATACACTACGTTAATTAAGTCCTTATTATGCCTTTTTATTTTCATTTACCGTGCCAAAAGCTCCCTCCGCAAGTTTCGATATCATACGAAGTCTGTGCCGCGGGAATTCTATCACATTCGTCGTTTCCAAACGTCGTTTCAAATCTATCAGGACCTCTTGTTGGCTCGGCGACTGTCGAACAAAGTATTTAAGGAGTTAACAACCAATACAATAAAAATAAACAAATAAAACACGAATAAACAACCAACAAAATAAGAAAAGAATTCGGCTATTAAAATTGTAAATCACAATTAAATTAAATGCAAGGTCGATGAAAAAAAACATTAGTTACACACTCACGCATGTACTCGCATTCATACACACGCACACACGCAAAAACACAAACTAAATCTTACTAATATTATAAATGCGAAAGTTTAGATGGATGGATGTTTGTTAGAGTTTGTAGCCTAAACGGCTGAACGAATCTCGATGAAATTTAACATAGATATAGTACATAGTCTGGAAGAACACATAAGCTACTTACTTTTCTTTTTTTTAATTCCACGCGGACGGAGTCACGGGCGAAAGCTAGTTTTAACATGTAATATTATATCTTTGTAATGTACTTTTAATTGAATATGATAATCAATAAGAGAAGGTACTGCCTCCTGACACACAGTTGTAATTACTTCAGGAGACAGAGCCCCAATTTAAATTTTGTAAAAATATGTTTTTGTCCAATAGAGTTTATATTTTTTTATTTTATTTTAGTGAATGTTCATCCCTTATAGTATTTCATTACGATGATAAAAGAAAACCTGTATTTAGACACCTAAGATCGACCATACACGGGCGAAATATGTTTGACAACCATGGACAGTAATAAGCGGTCGCCGCTAAAATACAGCTGACGACTGATTGAAGGTTTTGAAATGCAGACCGCATATAGCCATTTTATACATTAAAAATGCCCTAGGGCACCATCATGAGAGCTACTATCCTAATATTGGGTTCAGACAAATTTGTGTTCACCTATGGACTTTTTGTTGAGCTATTGACAGGTATGGCCGTTCGTAAATACTTACCCTAGTACTGATCTTAGAGCGTATGGAGGCTGGTGCAGATCTTCGTGAGAGCCCCATCTCAAGATCATGGTCAGAAAGTGGGTCGGTAGTGCGTCCCGACAGACTGTCAGCTAGACGTCGTTTCGTCAACAATGGTGCAGAGCTTAACTCCGGCACCGCGTACTCGTAGTTGGAACTATCTGCGGATATGAAAATGTTCACATTTAAAACATAGTATAGGAAAATGGAGTTTAAGCACTTGATTTGTAATCCACAGTTCTAGGGTTGGAATCCCGCCATATACCAATGTGATTTTCGATTTTCGAATATCAATTGTACATAATTTACCCGACATTCTTACGGTGAAGGAAAACATCGGGATGCCTAAACATATCGGTGAAGAAATTCAAAGATAAGTGTGAAGTAAACCGGCAGCGGGCCAGCGTTGTTGACTTAAGCCTAACCCCTTAATTAGGGTAGGCGCTGAGCCCCATAGTGGGGGCGTAGGTGGTGATGGGTAAAATGATCCAAAAAACATCCAAATAGCCCTACACCGAATTTATTGTTACTCTGTCAAGTTTTTTTAGATTAGATAATATCGAAATATTTTTAGCAGTAAAAAAACTTTTAAAATTACCTGATAAAGGTGTACTAGAGTCCTTAACAAAGTCTTTCATCTCGAGCAATACTGTGCTATAATTAAAGTAAGGAGCGCATTTGAGCGCTTGATACGGCTCCTGATATTCGTCTGATTTCACATCTAGAGGGCAATCTAGAATCATTTTGTTGTCGGGCAACATTGATGTACCACAAGGGTTATAAGTGTCAGTCACCGTTCTCTTCTGGGAGATGGTAGACTTCGCTAATGGCGAAGCGAAACACTTTCTGTGTCTATGTCTATGCACTATAAGGAACACAGCGACTGCTAAAAGTATCACTAGAGCTGTTAAAACCCCAACAACTATAGCGACGTATAAAGGATCTTCTTGATGTGCGGTAGATATCGGTAAGTCTTTTGTTGTAGTCGATTTAGTTTTTTCTTTACCACCCGTTGATTTCACGGTCTCTGGAGTGTAATTGCCTTGAGCGACATCTGTCAATGTTCAAACAAAAGTGGCTATAGAACAAATACAAATTGACCTCTCTTAGAAGAGTTTTATACCCAAAAACATCTTGAAATATTCGCAACGAGAAAAGTAATGATAAAAAATAATGATATACATTATAGCAAAGACCCAAAACGAGATAATGATGTCCTTCGATTGCCATTACTCGCTTTGCTTCCGTTCATACTGGTTTTTACGTTCAAGATTCCTTGTAAATTTTAAACGGTAGCTTATTTAAAATATAATAACTTAAATAAGAATTTGATGGAGTACTAAAATGTTGTTCTTCTAGTTTATTACAAAAAAAACCGTAAGCAACAAACAATTTAATTTTCGCCTTACAATATGTATCACTGGGTAGTCTGTTAAAAAGTATTGAAAAATAGTGAAATACTGACTTACCCGAATCGAACACAACTTCACTTATCAGTATCCAACTGGCAGCGAAACGCAGTTCAATTCTCACCCACTTGCCGATACGATGATGAAGTTTTATACTGACGTTACGCGAGTTCTCAAATATACTGTCTTCGACGTAAGTATAACGGATGGGTTCGTCTTGAAAGTGCCGACCACCGATCGAAAACGTTATAATAGCTTCGGAGAAAACCTTTAACAGAAAATGTTCTCTTTAAAAATTAAATAAAGAATCTATATTAAATTAAATTCATATATTGGTATTAGGATTAGACATTTTATGTCATTAAAATATCTTGACGACCCAAGATCTAAAGATGTTTTAAGCAACCAAGATATATGGCAATTACTATATCTATCAGAAAAATATTAGTACCCCAGTTTTAAAAAGTATTACAAATATTGAGAAATCGTCCCCGTGCTTCCCATTACTGTATAACTCCATATTTACAAGTCGATGTATTTGAAAGGGACTGTGATAATCGACTGTTAACCACTTCATTGTAACCGCTGGCTTATCTTTAAAATATGAAGAAAATGGTAACCCATTCATTTAGATTTTCTTACCTGGACGTCTCGCATAAAACGATTGTTGCAGAAGAAGTGCACGGCGCTGAATTCGCGCACTTTATCAAATTCGAATGTGATAACAGGGGGGTTGGGCCGGGACTCCTTCTTCCAGCCGACCCACGCTGAATTCCGGGCAGCTTCCCGAATCTCATCACCGCCGTATTGCCCGTCTACCAGTTGACCTAAACCTCCTTTAAGGTCCTCGCCCCATTGTCCATCGTAAGTCATATCAGTTAATTCTATTCCATTCGATCGTTTGTCTCCTTTCGGCATTGAGTATGCAACTATCCCAACTGTTAACAAACATTATCAAGTTATAATTAAAGGTATAAAAAAGTTTCATTATGAAAAAAATGAACATCGCGGTAAAAAGTCAGCAACGACCCCGACGACTTAATTAGAAATTATTTTAGTCAAAAAATTAAATGTGCTTTTTATATTTCGTCCAACTGAATATTCTGTTAACTTCGTTATACGTCAAACATTTTTGCAATAAAAAAATAATATTAAAAACCATGACATAATTAACCCTACGTCAAGCTAGGATTTAATTAAAGAATACTTAATTTCTTACTTATTAAATTTTTCCTAAAAAGTCTTAGTAGACATAAAATGCCGATTCAAAGCAACGTGGTAAATATATAAATATACTTTAATATGCCACAAGTAATTGCCGCACTCATTATTTTACGGTTGCTAAGGGAGTCGAAATATCTAATACGAATAATGTACACTTAGGGACTGCTTTAACAAACTCTAAGACAGTATAAAACCATAAATAATTGCTAATGATATTAAAATAATTTAGTTTTAGATTATATGTACAAGCGACAACTTGTCAGTTGGGCTTATTAATTCGCTTTTACTTTTATACCCTTAACGCTTTGCATACCACAAGGGAAATTTGCATAAGTGCATGCATGCACAAGTATTTATGGTAAATAATCAACTTGAACACTCTATCGCGCTTAGTAACTCGGACGACAAACAGATTAATCATGCAACTGCCGAGATGAACACTACGAGTAGAGAACAAAATTTTAACAAAACTTTCTCAATAACTTATTCAGTGACATTCTACATTCAAATTGTTTTTTTATTATTATTTTCATGTCGCTATACTTTAGTTTCCTTAACTATGCAATCATTTATATTTTCCTATTTTAACGATGTGTAAATATTTAAAATGGAAACGCGAGTCAAATAATCATCGATAAACGCTTCCAACTGCGAACTACCGCAACATGTTTGTATTTCTCAAAGGCAAAGGCAATACGGCAGTTAAATACGAAGTCATGCACGGGAAGTGTTTGTACATTAACTCTAGGGAACTAACGTCTCTCCTACCATCTACAGTAATGTTTGTACGTTACACTTCGTGTGCTGACTAATTTAATATCTCCTTTTAAACAAATATTACATAGATTTTTCATCTCAACACGTTAGAGTCTCTTTGAGTTACTCCACGCGTTAAAAATTGCATTTGTCTCTACACTTCGAGCTTTTCTCTCTTGCAATTCGAAACAAAAGGAATAAAAGCTTGTATACCGCATAATATTATAAAGTGTATGACAAATACACAATGGCTTTTTATTTATAATTCTAAGCGCGTTTTTACAATGGTGCCGACACCTGGCCGGTGCTTTTATAAATTCACTCATGGGCAAGGAAATTGTTTATAGGTTGCGCGCGTGTGTGTGCTTGTCGCGATTGTTCACTTGCAGGAAATGTTACTCAATCTTAAAAATGATGAATAATTTTAATAAATAAATTCTAATCATATTATATCTTTGGTAGCGTATTCTTGTACAAAATGCATCTCTGTAATTATTAATGAACTATAACTTTCTTATAATAAGAGTGTGCTTACTTGAGAAGTTAGACACGGCTCACGTCAAAAACACTTAAGCTTGTCGGTTTCCTTGTTAGAAACTTTGTTACGATCCTGTTAAAATACACCGCAAGACAAGAACACTTTTAATACTTTAAATCAATTACAGTTTGTCTTGGGTAAGCGTTAGTTATAAAAGATATTCAGCTCTTTTTAATTTTCCAAAACAATGGAATGCTAATAAGAAACCATATCTGGTACTAAGGGCTTGGAAAGCGCCGACATTATATGGCCTCAGTGGCGAATTTAAAGCAGTCCCTTGCTAACAAATAATGACCGTTGAATAGTCCTAGTTTATATTTCTGTCTACCCAGGATTATAAAACCAAAGCCGCCTTAAATTTTGTACATTAGGTCACTAGCTCATTACCCACTTACAGTAGAACTTATCAAAAATCCCCTCAAGAGGATATGGATGGACACCACCTGCGCACATTAAAGATACCCAGTTAGTTAAGGTTAAATTATTTATGGAATTTCTGATTCATAATTGCAATTAACAAGAAGTTTATTCTCAATGGGTCAGGTGACCCAATTGCTAAATTAGTTTTAGTTCCTAAAGTACAAGGAAATCCTTTACTTAATTATTTTTAAACTAAAATTAGATTTAAAAGTGGCATCGTTTTGACTTTTTTTACTTTAGGTTCAGCTAACATAAAAACATTTGTCCTACATCATGCAAGGACTAAATTATGTACCTTATCTGTACACGTCATGTTTTAAAATTGAGCCTAGCAACGACTAATGTTCCACATTAATATGGAAAGCGGGAGTAAAAAATCAACAAGCTCCTGTGAAAACGTAGACGTATGATTAAAAGCGGTGCAATTTGCCGCTTTTTACGTTAATAATGGCTCGCATGCCGCGACTACCAACTGTAACTTCCCCGAAATTGCCCACACATTACCATTAAAAACCAGAATAATATTTTTCATAAACCGAAGCTGTTTACATTATTTCAAGTACGAAAGTGTATTACTACGGTGTAAATTATACAAATATGAGGATGTGGATATAGCATTTTCTTGTGCATTTAAGGACGATACAGTATCGGGCGTTTAGCTAGATTACATCCACACCTAGGGCCATATTAGTATGGGCGCTTAGGCGACTGCCCAGGGTCTGCGACCTTGGTAGTCGAGTAACTGATCTGCAGATGAGCTGTGAATACATAGCAACCCTAATGACCTCTCCACTAAACAATAATTCCTTCGTTTTGATGTGTTGATTTTGTATTGTTAGTTATCTATACATATAATAAAATTGGAGTGTCTGTTTGTAATATCAAAAGAACAATTCCAGATTTCGGGAAGATAATGTATTTGAGTTGCTGATAACGAAGATCGCATTTAAGAAAAAATTGTCTGACTGTCTGTTCACAAGCCGCGTTGTTTCCGGATAATCTCCGAAACGGCTGGACCGATTTGAACTCAATTTTCACTGAAGGTTTGCAGACAGACAGGCATATTATCGGCTACTTTTTAATCATATTATTGCGTGGACGAAGTCGCGGGCAACAGCTAGTACAATAATAAGAATGTTTATGATTAATGTCATTGCACTTAGTTAGACCGCGCGTGCTGATGATGCTTAGCCGTATGTTTAAATTGAAAAATATCAGACGTTCCTCAATTAAGCTGTGCGGTAATCTCTTGCGGAATGCCTGCGAAAAGTTTAGCCAACTCGCTTACACTCAAGTATAAATACCCACATATTAAGACACTCGAGAAGGATGATGAACTCTAGCGATTTTCTACCTATTTTGTTTGTTAAATGAAAAAAATTAGAAGGGATGAATCGCATGTAACAAGAAGAACGTTAGTTGTGAATGTGGAGGTACACCGTTAGAGGTAGAGGTAGAAAGAGATAGATGGATTGCTTGAAAGGAGACATGATCGAAGAGAGTTGACTGAGATGACGGATGATAGAGTTATTTGGAGGACGAAAACCCGGCGCGCTGATCCTACGGTAGTAGAATAAGGCAGGGGAGATGATTAAAAACAAACATTCCGTTAGTTTGACCTCTAAGCGTTATACTGTTGTTAATATTGACATTTTGGTGAAAATCACTTAATTGTTTTATTCTAAAATTTTGAAATTGTATCATCCAACGATCAGACATATTACGCGTTATTTTCGATTCATTTTATTTAGAATTTCCATTTACAAATACGTACTTAATCATGACTGGTAAATCAGATTTTGAGCAAATACATCACATATTTTCCACAAACCGATACACACAAAATTTTCGTATTACGCCGGATAGGATGCATTCCTAACTACCATGAACACATCAAACAATGAAATTACCGCATGACTAGTATGTAAAAAATGAAATTTTTGCCATTAACCCTTAATTCGACGGAGGTTTTGTAGCAAAAAAAAATGTTACCAACACACTAAAAACAAAACCTATCGTATTACTAAACTAGTTCAGTCGTTTTCAAATTAGTTGTTCGTCATACTGGAGACTATCGAATTAAGGGTTAAATATATTTAGATTTTAATGGCGACAAAATAGAACTAATTGATTACAATAAAGTTACAATAACTTGTTTTGTATACGATGTCTCAGATGCGGGTCGAAAGGTCTTACAATCATACGCTAACGCAATTACGGTATCTCACATTATTATTTGGTTGTTGACATCTCGCTACAAATCTCTACTTTGTATGTACTGTACATGATTAAACTGGAAATGCGCTTTATAGAATAATACTTGAATAGTATCTAAAAACATCGATTATATCTTTGGATATCGGTTACTTTTAAAGGACTTTTTCACTAAGATATTACGCCATTTTTATCGTGAGTAAGGGGGTAGTTTACATACTTCACCACATATAATTAAAGGGGATGTAGGGTGTCAAAGTGGTTTAATACCGTCACGTAATTAATAGAAGAAACTCTAAGTTAGCCCCATAACACTGTACTATATACATTTGAACACAATTGACAAATCTGTTAGTCACTCCAGTTGGACAGAATCTTAAAATTCAAATGTTTGTTCAATTAAAATAAGTCACTCACCGCTCCAGTAGCAGCCGTAGACTTCGACTCTCATACAAACAGTTCGTCGATGGGAACTGTAAGGTATGAAGCGTATCTTCGACGCCCATATTGGTGGTTGTAAGTGGTTCTTCTTCTCAAGGTAAGTGTTCGCATTCCCCGAGAGAATCTGCATAAGAGAACATAATGTAGTTGTCACCAAAAATTATGCTTTATTCAATCACGTCGCGTTTTATCAATATATCCTAGTATTGTGTAGTTTCAAATCCATTTAGGCCACACATCGTTACTTATAAATAAAATAAGGTAATGTGCTTGTTTTACAATTGTTAATTTTACGTCGTAAATTCTGTAAAGGGCTGTTTTGACCCAAATGTTACGAATTCTAATATTATTTTAGGCGAAAACCAATTAGGGCCAGAATACCCTCCAGCATCGAGATCATAATAAAGAAAGAAGACGTCATCAAAATGTTTTCATTGCAATATGCGGCAGCCGCAGGTTACATCTGCCGTGACTGGAAAGATTTTATTTGCTAACTCGCTATGAAATGGCCGAAGAAGTTCCACTAAAGTTCTCCTTGCCGCTTATTCACTCGAGTTGAAACTTTTTGCATAAAGCGTATGCCCGACTAGCATTTCCCGGCTTCTTATAATACACAAACAAACTAATAACGAATTTTTATTTGTATTTGCGCAACGCAGACCCGAGTTGCAAAATTTTTCTTTTAACATCAAATGAAATAGAGTTGCAAAAAATTCCTTTAACGTCAAATGAAGCGGAACTGGGAAGATTTTATTTTCACTACTAATTGGCGTCATAAAGTACTACATCAATTTCAGAAAAGAAACTCAATCATCAAATGCTATAGAAATAAAATAAAAAGGAGAAACTCCATTTTTGTACTTTAATTGCAGTAACACAAAAATGTACCTACATTATTATTATTTTATTGATATTTTGTCAATAATACTGCTGTTAAAATAGATATCACTAAAGTATTAGTAGTAAATATTAATTACCTCTTGGCCATCGGCGCCTCTGTATCGGACCCATTTAGCCAATTTAGGTCGCCAATACTCGAGGACGTAGGCTTCCGCGTACTCCTGTCCCTGGCCGTTCCCAAAACGGCCCTGAGTTCCGGTGCCCGTGATCACGTGAACCGAATGCAGGTTCACTTCCAGCCATTCCGTCGATTCCGTTGTTATCTGAGACTTGGGACACCACGCGCCGCCTTTTATCTCTTGGTTTAATCTAGACAAAACAATTATTATTTTACACAGTGAAATATTACAGATATAAATACAGTAAGTATTGAAGAGATTATGCATTAGCATTTAAAAAAATTGTAGACATGGAGATTTCAATCTGGATTTTTGCTTGTCCGTGGTATTTTTAATTAACATTTTAATCCGTTTGGTTTTAAATTAATTGAACTTCGGAACATGATATATTGTTTAGAGAACGATAGAATAACTGTTGTACACCGTTTCATTAACAGCAGTTAGAATTATTTTCGGATCGATATCAAAGATCAAATGTTGATTTCGCCCGTGAGTCTATGTGGATACTCACTTCATAAATAGTATTTTTACATTAAAGCAAATATGGCTGCAATCAACTTTTCACTTGTCCGCAAAAGCGATGGCGTACTTTTAAAATTTTATAATTAAAACGTGGTGGCCTGGAGCTATTAACATCGGTGCATCAAGCACCTCAGCCCGACGGGACCGTAAACGCAGTAAAACACTCGAAATGTCAGCAAATTAAATTGGACGCCAATTAAATCCGGAAATTCAGGTCTCAAAAAACTTCGAAAACAAAAAGTTTATGGGTTAACTGAAAAATTGAAATGGAAATGTCTGTCAAGAAAATAAATTGAATATTAGCAAAAGTTGGTGATAGTTAAAAGTTGAAATAAAAATCTGAAATAAATAAATTGACTTACTCTATAAAACTACCTTTTTTGTTTATTATGTTAACATACTTAAGCGAAATTCTATTACTTAAAGATAAAATTAATTTTAAAAGTTGTTGATCATAAATTTTTACAAAAACAATATTCAATACCTACACCGGGCTTATTTCACTGAAGTCGCAAGCCAAAACACGTAGGGTAAGTTGTATCAATGTTTACAGCAACATGATAACATCCTTGGTTAAACTCCCTTCTTATCTTTATCACCGACATGACGCAAACAAAGCGGCTTACTCTCACTACGATGCTATTATACAAAACACTGCGCTCTCGCTTCCTGTGAATTTCCACTGACGAAACATCTATACAAAGCATATTGTTATCTCCGCTTCGTCGAAGAGCGTGCAAGAGACAGCCGCAGCCGAAACCCACGGTTAGATGTTACGCATCATTTACGCTCACGTCTGTTTCGACATAGTCGGTAACGGAGTTATGCGTTTATTTACGTTACCCAGAATAATATGCGTAAATAATTACCATAACACTAATGTTAACATCCAAAAGTTCCCTAGTAAGTGCAATTTCACAACGAATTCTCAAAATATCAATAATTTTTGTAATCCGTAGAAAGGTCTATATTTTTTATGACAAACATTTTTTTATTAAATAATAGTTGATTGGATGGTCTGCATTAAATTCTACGGAGCCTGCATCTTACAATAAGCTGATTAGAGGTCAGCGCTTGTCTTCAAGATTCTCTTTGCATTCTCTAATTAGAAGTGAACTCTATTGGATGCAATTTTATATTTATTTTCTACTAGCTGTTCCCGTGCGGCTTCATCCGCACAAAATTACAAAAACTGTATTTTATTATTAAATTTGTCAAATTCTCAATTCTAAATGTCAAAATTACCGTTATCATAATAACCTAGGTTACTTAATGTTGGCAGCTTGTAGTTTATAGTCCCTTTCCCACATGAAGGTGTTTTTCCAATTTATTTACCCCTAAGTTTAATAACGTGAAAATATATAGCCTAAAGTATGACGTAAGTGTAGAAGTTTTTATATAAAAAAAGAATTGTTCAAAAATATGATGTAATTGCTGACATCTTACGCCACAAAGATAGGTGGTATATTTATTTTTATAATCTAGCTATTGTATTAGTTATTAGCAAACACCGTGCTACGTTTGCGTGCGGTGAACAGTTTTAAAGTACAAAAACGATTAGTATAGAGTGGCGCCAGCTGACGCTATCATTATAATGGCATTATCTTGAGACTACTGCCCACATATTAGGTCCAAACAAACCTTATTTTACTGCGCTTATGTTCATTATAACTCTATTTCTGGAATATCAAGTGTTAGTTATTTGCTCATTTAAAATATCGATACAACTAACAGTATTGACTACTAAAGGTGCAAATTGACCAACGTTACGCGGTGTAACATTCGCATCGAGGGACTGGTTGTTCGCTAGCCCTCTTAACAATAAACACTGACTGCATAAATGTTCTCCGTATGACATGTTACATTACACTGGGTTGGGCACCTTTAGGTACTAAATATGAATAGAATGTAGGAGAATAAGACTCTTCAAAAGCAAGCTAGATAGAATAAGGAATTCAACAACGATCTCGTTATTTCGAAATTCACACACGTTCTCCAGTTACAAGTGTTCTCTCTAGCAGCTTTATGTTCACAAAATATATAGTCGTTAAAAGTTAAAGAAAATAATGTTGATTATTCTTAACATTTGTTATATATATATTTGTATTTATATATTATTAACCGACTTCCAAAAGTAGGTGATTCTCAATTAGATTGCAAGTTTTTTCTTAAACAAAGAACTTTAGTGTGGAATTATTTTATTAAAACAATTATATTGGATGTGCTTATTAAGTGTTACATATTGACAATCAACCTCTTTTCCGCAAGTAGAACAACTTAATGTTGTCAGGCCAGTTAGAGTTGTCTCGTTAGATACCAATTACTTATACACGCGGGACTTTAAAAGGTTTCGCCCGTACCACATTTGTTTATTTCGTATGACCTCCTTACAATGCTTCATTATTTTACGATATCAGAGCCTGTATTTTTGTTTACGTTGCTTAATTAATTTCTGATAATGATGGCAATTAACAATCTTTTTTTTTTACATTACGTACTTCTACTCCTAACTTGTTAGTTTAAAAACAAGGTGGAGTAATGAAGCGTCACAGTATATATTTGACATTAACTTTGATGTAGGCGTGGGTATTTCAAGCCCTCGATTAGAGTCACTTTATTTTATTGCATTGTGTTCGACAACCGTGGTTCGTCTAGAAACGTTGTTACACATATCATTAAAGGTTAGATGATTGAATGTATTTTTGTGGAGCTTTTTAAAACTGTCCCTCGTGTAAATTAAGTAACATGATCGCAAGACTTCGAAAGAGTCTTTTTTTTATTATACATAATTTTGATTATTTATACTTTTAGTTTTTGTCTTTGGCGTAACAGTTGCCGGGTTCAGCACCCGACACACTTCGAATCAAAGATAACAATAATACTGTTCAGTATTTTTATTAGTGCATTCACATGTGTATAAGCGAGCGCCTGCGTCGTCTCGCCCAATCAAATTCTTAGATGTCTGGCCATTAAGTCTTATTGGCGGGAGACTGGGCCATCGGAGCTAACAGTGATGCATTAACAACTCGCTTTCGTAATTGATATCATTCTGTTTAGTTCAAACGGTGGACACATTTCAAACGCATTTGAAAGATACAAAATTATATATTACTTCTTACTATCAGTTTTAATTGATGGATGATAACGTAAAACTGTTAGTTAACTCCAAAAGGGCTAAATGGAATTAGATGAAGTTTGGCACAGTGATAGATCACGGTCTGGAATAGCACGTGGGTTACGTTTTATCCTGAAAAAAAAATATGGTTCTCGTGGGATAGATTTGTTTTTTTCACTTAATAATTCAGCTGCGAAATAAAACTCTATTTTCTACCACGCAGACAAAGTTCATTCAGTTTTTGTTGGTCAAATGTTCAGTAATAAAACTGATTATTCTTTCTGCTTAACTGTGGTACTTATTAATTTTATAGAAGCCACAAGGGTTTGCAGAAATCAATCAGGCTCAGAGCAGATGTGGGAGTATTTACGTAGCGAACGAAAGTAAATTCACTGGAATACTCAAAATACTTTACTAACTTAAAGAAAACGATGTTAAGAAATAATTAGTGAGGGTGAATCTTAAAAAGGATTCCTCCTGTATCAATATTCTAAATAGAAAAAATGTATTCTGAGCTTTATTTCCATTTGCATTAAATCAAAACAACGAAGTTATTAAACTTTTGAACAACGTATGTACGTACGTCTTTAAAACTTTGTTCCTTTGCTGAAAATTCGCGAAATACTTTTGGAAATGCTTATGAAGAGACAATGCAAATTCTCTTCTACCTTTGATATTCGTACGTAATATAAAATATATAATACAAGTGAAATATTTTGCATCAACGCCGAGAGTCGGAGGCCGGCCGCCGACGAGGGGAATGTTAACAATTTCGGGTGCCTTTACACAGGAGCATTAGTAACGCAGGTTATTCAAAGCTGATGTTTATGATCCTATTAATTATTCACATGTTTTACATATTTACCCTTCATTCCATACAACTTCTACTAAATTCTAACAGTGGCTTCTATTAGGATTTAAAAACAAATGCACTTACAATATAAGGTGTATAATTTGAAAGATTGGAATTATTATCCTATATGTTTTCAAAAAGTGATATTTAAGATCGTATCTAATTAATTTGTATGGGAGCGAGTACAATAAGGGATTGATAGCTTAATATATGTTTTTTATATCTTTTGAGATGACAACAATTTTAATTAAATAACCTGAGATAAGTCGAAGCGGTCTTTTTATGGTGTCGGCAGGGAAATCTTTAAAAGATACCTTGCCTTCTGGGTGGAAGGCAGGGTTATGTAGGATTTGACCTACTAAAACCCCGTCGGTGGCCATCCTTTAATGACAAAGACGAAGGTTCCGGGATCTCCAAGGAACATACCGGAATCTTCGACACTCAAGTCGAAGAGGTCTGTTAGGTAAATTTTTAGGTTAGTTACTTGTATACCTAACATAAAGTTGAACTGTACCCTGGTAATGTCAAACAGCGGTCAATCCAATCAGTACTCTTTATAACGTTTAAGACTAACGATGATTATTCGACGATCGAAATGAATGTTCCGCATGATTAACAATTGTGTATGGGCACGCTTTGGTAGCGATTATATTCGGCTGCTACCATGCATTTTAAGTCATTAAAATCAAAGATCGTAAAGTTAATGACATCGATGTTAATTTCAAATCAACTCAGCACGCGAGAATCATCGACTCAGTTCTCAGTCCAGTAATGTCTCTTGAAATTTTTACTTTTCAAATAGATCACAATTATTGATTTTTTGATTATTGATTCTCGCACTTAGAGAGAAATCGTAAAGTTTTATTAAAAAAACTGCATCAATCGTACAATTATGAAGACAAGGATGCAGGTAAAATATAAGTGTAAAAAATAGCTTTGCAACATTTGATTGCTATAATCAAAGTCGTGTAAGAATGCAGATTTAAAATCGTAAACGGACTTAACCCTTTAAAATATAATTTCGCTTTGTCGTAAGCACGTGGTTGAATTCCGGGTGGTCGTTTAGTGCGCACTCCACCACCGCTCCACATGCCAGTATCCAGTGCACGGTCATTTGGTCTTCAATATAAACAAAGAGTAAAGCATTATCGTTAGCTGCCAGTGTTTGTAACAACCACGTGGCGAAGTGATGATTGATTCAGATATATTCGTCGACATAAATATTAGTAAATCACAATAAAAAGTAAATGAACAGTCACGCTAAAGACATAAGACAACGCAAATCTTTTTATATTTCATAGAATACTTCTAGGAGGATCAATCTTAAAAAGTATTATGCCACTTACAAAGCTAAGGAGTTCACTCGACTAATTAAAAAACGGCCGAATATTGATTTAAATATGTAACGTCAATTCAAATGATGAGGCCACGCTTAAACTCGATTCCTTACAAATTTTAACTTCTATCAGATTGTAAGCGGCGCTTAAAGAAGTGTTTAAGTTTCGTTTCAGTATTTAGTTAGTAACATTACTTATTTGCACGATTTAAATTAACCTAGACTTAGGCTTAGAGAGAATCAACAGAGTACCTTAATTTGAAATTTAATTAATACACTGAACTGGATTATTTCATGTAACAAACTCCACAAAGGGGATCCTATCACAACACAACATACCACATAACTAACCATCACGCACTTCTGTAATTAATCGAAATAATTATAGACGGACTAGAGGCGAAATCAAATTAGAACATAAATGCATAACAAAATGTTTGTATTGAGTAAATTAGTTTGAGATGATGTAGAATGTAAGTGTATTAGGTAAAGGCAATGTCTACGTTATACTATTATAGTCATTTATTATTTGTAGTTATTGCGATTGCTTCAAATAAACGTTCTATGTAAAATTTAAAGCTAAATATTGTAATATTTGGTCATAACATTGTCATAATGTTGAAACATGTTTTAAATTAACTAAATTCCAACGACATAACTCGCTAAAACATCGAAGAATCTTTTCATAACCGAATAAACTATGGTATATCCTTTTAATAACATCCAAAATTTGGTACATACTATGAATGCCGTATTTAATCCGGCTGTATACTCAGAATGCTTTTAAGCTTTCCTATACAGGTGGTATTGCTTGGTGCGGATTTAACTGTTTCGGAAAATCTATAAGCTCCCTCGGAATAAGCTCCGTCCGATTCCATTTTGTAATGATAAATTGTTTTAACATTCGAGATTAAAACCGTGGCGTAATTAGTGGTACGAAGTTTTAACAATAATATTGAATCGTTAAGATTTTTATGAACATTTCATGCTAATATAAAAATCTGGCAATTACTCCTCTCAAACTTGAATAATGCTTTGTACAGGATCAATTCAAAGAATTGCAATTAACAACTAATTTCTAGCTGGTGGACATCATAAAGTCTGTTAACGTTGTTCAAGATGGTAGTGTTTGCCAGCATTAGCTGCTGCAAGCTAACCATGGTTGGAATGACATGAATAATGCCTTCAAAGAATTAGCATGTAAAACAAATTCCAGTTGGAAATTTGTCATGTACTATCAAAGTACGTTTGCTTCGCTTATTGTCCATAGAGTACAATACACAAAATCAATACAATAGTTAAAAGAAACTAGCTCGGCGAATACTTTTTAACCAGTAAAAAGAATTCACCGATCGACGCTCGCTGACCTGACATGTCTATGAAAAGCAAGGAATTTTAAAATGAAATTTTTCTTCGCAGATTTTATTTCATTTTTTTCATTCAACAACTCCAAGTAGACAAAAAATGCATTCTTTTAATTCTTATTTAACTTGAACCCGACTAATTCTATTCGTTTGTGTCGTTACTTAGAAAGCGGCAAGGGTGTTTCTAACATGCGACACAAATAAGCAACATACATGAGTGGACTATAATGGAACACGGAGTTAAAATCTAGGTTACGGTGAGCAATTATAGCGAAAAACATACACGGTCATTGTATACCAAACTTAAAAATTTTAAAACATTAATTACATATTTTCAACTTGTAGCAATATTGTATTACGTTAAAGAAAGTATAAATCACCTTACACCACGCCTGTAAGACAAGATTTTATTTTTATCTTGCAAAAAAACTCAATACTCAGAAGCAATCTCTGCGATTACAAAGCTACAAGTGATCCGTTTGCGCTGCAGTTTAAATTAAATTCTCGATACCATTCAAAGGGGAAGGTTCCAATAGTAATACTTTATTGAACTCGTAACTTTTACGTAAAAACTACCCGATTTTTTTAACACGGTCCATTTTGCACTGATAACACGTTTTGAAAAAAAAAATTAAACCTGATTCCGAACTCGTGTATTAGGAGTATAAGATTCATTTTTTATGGCGGCTCGGGATTAGCTACGACTGACTACTGAGACTACTGAGGGTGAGGTTGCACGCGCACCGGGGTATTCTTTAAAATCCGGCTGATAACTAAATTTTTGTTGTGCGCAGCTAATACAAAACTGCAAACCGCCATAAAGTTTGGATGCCACTGTTACTGATAAAAATCTATTGAAATTATGCCACAAGACATTTGAAATGGAAAAAAATCGATTACGCTTCTCAAGATGTATGTTATTCGATATGATGCCATTTGATGAAATAAAAAGAGTACTCAAAGTAATTAGCAGACGAAGTCGCAGGCAACCGGTTGTAATATACACTTAGATAACAACTTTTTATGGTATACTGACATTTATGATCTTTCATTAAAATGCAATATTTTTTAGAATACTAGTTCTTTAGGTTTATTATAGTTGTTTTATACTGTACAAAATATTCGCAAAGCTAATTTATGTAACTTGTTAGCAAGATACTCACCGTCCATTTTGAGGGCCCACGTTGCCGTCGTTGAATGAAGAGCTGGCTGTGAGGTCCTTGTCGGGAATTAATCCATTTTCCATTCCAAGGGGAGCGATACATTGAGCTGAAAGCAATAGCTATTATTATTAAACAGTTCATTTTCTAGTGGGAGTTCTAAACTAGCAAGTCGATACTGCATTTAATTTTAATTAGCAGTTTTATAGTCTATCTAAATATGTCTATAATATTTTACCTAAGTTGGATTTGAAACAGAACGTATTGTGTTGTTGAGAAGACATTAAATCATTATGTTGTGGACACGCGAAAACTCTATTAAAATCTTATAATTTGCTTTGAGCATGGAAACCACTAGTACTAGTATTTAATAGACCTTTCTGCAATACCACACAGTAAAGGCAACACATTTCTAACTTGATAACGTGTGACAATGGCGCTATAAACTCGATTGTACAAAATTATTAAGCCGCATTATGCATATGAGTGTTCGAAATATGAAATCAAATACAAACAATGTTCAAAATGAATGGGGAAAAAATCAAATTACTGGTGTTCGATATTCGAACAAAAGCGATGCTGGATCCAATTTGATCACGAATCAATCAAAGAATAATCCCGGAACATTCGTACAACACTTCTGTTTAAAATTGATATCTACTTCGTACGTGTGTACGTAACAATCATATTCGGGCGATGACTCCGTCAGTCGTGCATTAAAATTATAACGATAATAATTACAATCGACACGAAACCGCCGCGTTGTATGAAAGGTATTATCCGATCCAGTCGCTAGATAAGTTAAGCAACAAAATTCATTGTCTAGCGATAATGAAATGTCTTTTTATAAAAATTAAAGAAGTTAAAACTATGAGATTTTAGTGCTTTTTCCATTATCATTTTGCTAGAATTGTTCTCCATAATTGGAATGATCTTTAAACGATTTTATTAAGTGAACGATGCTTAAGCACAAGCCGAAAAAGTAGCTAATCTGCTTATTCACTTTTGAAAACCATTTCGATCTTTACAGAGTGTCAGGTCGATCAAAATCATTATCACCAGCTCACTATACGTCCCCACCGAGGGGCTCGGAGCCTACCCTAAAGTTAGGGTGACTAGGCCATAGTCAACCACGCTGGCCAAGTGCGGGTTGGTTGACTTCACACATATCTTTGAATTTCTTCGCTGATATGTGCAGGTTGCATCACGATGTTTTCCTTCACCGTAAGAACGTCGGGTAAATTATGTACATATGAAAATTCGAAAAATTGGAAATCACATTGGTACATGGCGGCGGGATTCGAACCCAAGACCTGTAGATTACAAGTCAAGTGCTTAAACCACTGAGCCACCGACGCTCCGATCAAAATAAAATAACGCAAATACAATCAATCTCTAGTCTGCTAAAGATCTAATAAATTTGGTTAGTTTATTTAAGTATTGGTTAACCAACCAACATAGAACATTAGAAATTAGAAGTATAAATTGCCGCAATAAACAATTTATAAGTTTAGAAATTAGCTATACTGCAGCTGTTTAAAGTCATATTTCATTGCTTTAGAAAATTAATAAAGTTTAGTGACTATTACTGAAGCGGGTAACTGGCAGGCGCCCGTTTTAAGTCCCACAATTTGTTTTGCCTTAGTCATATTAAAATTTACAAAGTGTACATAATTTAATAAAAAAAACATATCTTTTGTATATTGGAGACCGACATAAATATCTTTGATAATCGAAGAAAACAATGGACGTAATATGAGTCAAATCGACTCGACACAAAAACATTAAAATCTTTTTTAAGAACACTGCACTGGGCAGCGAATTTCATTCAACCTTTGTACTCTTTGCATCCTTTATTTCAGACCAGGAATGGCAGATCTTTTTGAAGATTATTTTGTTTGTATGCGAATTCGAAGTTCGCATAAAGTGAATGTAAATGGAAATGTAGACAGAAAGCAATTTGACACAGACCGGATCAGACTGTATGATCAGGCGGTCTGCGGGCGGAAGTTAGAATGTTGTTGCAACTATTTTATAATATGCATTTCTCTCAAACAGAGATTCGGAGTCGCAATACGAATGACACAAGAATGCTTATAAAGCTTTGTAACTTTGTACATTTTAATAACATACTTTAATATATGTTTCTATTCAAAATGTAACTAACATATCTCTCAGGATATTTTGCTATCTTACATTTGTCAGAGATAACTAGAAAGATTTTATTCCCACAAAGAAAAAAAAAGTTAACTGAATGTTTGCACTATCGAAAAATTAACATTAATTTCTCTTTGTGTGTGACAGTAAGCGATGCTGTTGGTAAAAGTATTTCTTAGCTATATTGTAAAAATGTCCAATCACCGACAATCGAGACAACAGAGGCGTCCTCGTTTCCGCTCAACGCCTACTGTCTTAGCCTATTGATATCTATAAATAATAATTAAGTAATTGAAATTCTTCATACAATATTTACGAATACATTCAGATCACGTACATAAACGACTAGACTAGATAAATAGATTTGAAACGTCGAGATCTCAGGTAGAAAATAGAAAATAGATTTAGGATCAAGTAATCAAATATAAAATGAGCTTTTTATTTCTTTGCTCGATACCTTGTTACGTGCAACGACGTTATACGGATCTAACACTGTTAGTCCTATTGATGTCACTATTTCTAAATTAAATTAAAACTATTAAGTTACGGTAACATTTATTTTTAAATGGAGAAATTTTTCCTTTGTTTCAATTTAACTCAATAGTCGTTTTCAGTGTTACCGTCATCTTTTTCTGTAAAACAGATAACACAGTTCGTTTTATACAGGTGTTACCGTGACAACTCGCAGTTATAAAAACGCGTTGTCAGAAAGCAGCTTCCAGTCGTTAAAAATAGTATAATGAATCCCTCAAAGGTATCTTGTAGCCCTCGAGAGAAGAATAGCTGCCAACACAATGGCCGTCGCCTCCGGCACCTCACCTCAAAAATCTACATATATCAAAATGAAAAATCATACTGCTTCATTAGCAGAAAATACTTCCGAATATAGCATAAGTACACATCAAATGTTACGCGTCTGAAGCGACGCCCACCAAGTCGTTGATATTAAAAGTTTGAAATTACGTAAAAACGTAATTTATGTTAGAACATTTTTTGCATTTCTACGGCTGGAGTAAATTAAAATATACCAATATTGAGTTAAAGAATATAAAACGAAGAGGGTATTAATGAAGCCAAGTTAAAACATTGATCGAAATAAATATAAACGGTAATAATATCAGCTAGATAAATAACTGCAGGCACATAAGAAAAAAGAATGTTGTGTCTTCTCTTCGCGGATAAACTACGATGTTTTTACAGTACAGTAGAGTAAGTACAGTAAACAATTGGTACAGAGAAAGACTAAGTTTGGAAAGCATGTTTTAAACACAGTAAACATTAGGAAAAAATAAAAAGAAACAACAGTCGAATAAGGATTAAAAGATTAAATAAGACATGCTTTGTAACTAAGATTTACATGTGTTACTGTAAAAACTCAAACTCTGGTAACTACTAAGATATACCAACTACTTATGGTAAACGTGTGGAACAAATCAAATCTTGATTATTTTCAAGCATTTGCCACCATTACCTCAAGATTAAGGTAATTAAAATTAAAGGTCTAAAAGAGCTATAATTTACCGTATTCCAAGCCTTTACAGTAACATACACTGGTAAAATAAATCTCTTGCGTCTGAAGAAATATAAAAATAATTTTGCTCCTGTCTTTTGTAAAGACGTGGATTTTGCTCAATAGAGCAGTCTCGTTCAATTTGAGATTGTTCGTTCGATTTGAGACTCAACTTTAAAGTAAAAGGATAATAGAAAAATTCGCAAAGACAAATATGGTCTTACATTCGCACATCCATCGCTACAGGTCATAAATCAGCGTTAGCATTGTTTAACACAAAATTAAAATAAATTGGCAGGAAAGTTGTTTGGAACAAAATAATAAATAAGCTCAGCCTCGCTTACAGTGATTGATCTCGCTTCAGTCCTCTTGGAAATCAATATCAAAGTAAACTACGTTATATTTTATGACACAGCATACATGAACATTTAAACAGTAGGCTCGTCATAAAATAAATAATAAATGAACAAAAATTAAAACAGAAAACTAAATCACGATGAAAGGAACATGCAATCTTCTAAATGTAAAGAAAAATCATAAATGTCAATGTCTATTTTTCACCTTAAGAGCACGCGCACACCTTTGACAGAACCATCGCACAATTATTGTGAGATTCTCGATAGTCGATTGTTTATCAGCCAATTCAACTGTTTAGTTGCACCACTAAAATTGAGTAGTGTGCGCACCTCTATATAAGCTCATAGGAATCAATGCACGACTAAACAGTTGTGCGATAGTTTAATTTCAGGTGCGCAGGCTCTAAACTACCTAAACCACTGGACAGATTTTGATTAATATTAACTAGATCATTATAAACACATAAGAGCGTCGGTGGCTCAGTGGTTTAAGCACTTTGTAATCTACAGGTCTTGGGTTCGAATCCCGCCATGTACCAATGTGATTTTCGATTTTTAAGAAATTCATATGTACATAATTTACTCGACCTTCTTACGGTAAAGGAAATTCAAAGATATGTGTGAAGTCAACCAACCCGCACTTGGCCATCGTGGTTGACTATGGCCTAGTCAACACTAACTTAGAGTAGGCACGGAGCTCTTCAGTGGGGACATATAGTGAGCTGGTGATGATGAGAATATTATAAAGACAAGGATTAGGTTGACGTTTTCATATATTTTGCCCATTTTTTGTAATGAAAGTCTTTATTCGCCTTAAATATTTTTAAGTGTTTTTAGACTTTTAACATTATAGACCGACAAGGATATCTGTCCCGGTGGGTATAATTGAAACACATTTACGACAGAAGAGATGTATAGGAAGGGGCAATATCCTCTTTATGTGCGTCTCCTCCTCCGTCGGATAAGGGTAGGCAACGCATCGGCGATCGCGAATGTCTATGGGCAGTGGTCGCTTCGCCATTTTGGCGGATTCAGGAGGCCGCTTGCTCGTTTGCCACCTTGTTATTATAAAAAAATTCCGCCATT